AGCAGAAAAGCAGAGGCCAATCAGAACTCGCGCTAAAAAAGCAGAATGTACTACTTATTTTCAGCGCGAGTTCTGATTGGCTTCTGCTTTTCTAGCGCGAGTTCTGATTGGCTTCTGCTTTTCTGCTTTCTGCTTTTCTGCCAAGGTGTGAATCCGGCCTAAGAATACTAATAGAAAGTTATGTAAACGGAGCTTTAGGTACTTGACAATTTCAAGCACAAGCATATCAATCTATAATTCTAGATATAGTCTATGATTCTGCTTCGATATATATATATATATATATATATATATTGAATAGGTTTTTCTCTCCATGGAGATGAAATAATTGCAAATAAATTGACAAAAAGAATTCATGTATGCGCAAAGTATAAATATATAAACAATATATTCTGCTTCAAAGAATCCGAAAAGATAGCGAGCGTGTTACCGTAAAAATGGACGAAGCTAAATTTCTAAAAAGGTGAGGAACCACCGGTTTTGCATCTGTCAAATGATGTCGGTCATCTGTCGTACATTTAATTTTACGGTTCTGCATTTTGATATATGTTTAAAATATTTAGTATATAAATTTTGGGAAAATTTCTCGTGTCTTACGAATACAAATGTGAGTGTAGCAAGTTGATATATTTTTTACATTTATATTTAGAAAAGTAAGATCTGGAACGTTAGATGTTCACCCGACGGAAAAAGCTTTGGTTGTAAATTATGATGTTGAGGCACTGATATTAGGGGAACTGGGAGATCCTATGCTTGGTGATCGTAAGGTATGTTTCTTTATGAAAAAAGAAGGAAATAATTATTTTGTATGAATCTTAAGCTATTGTAGTATCATTTTCATGTATAGGAATGTCAAAAGATAATCAGACTAAAAAGCTTAAACGCGGATACAAACGTCTCTCTCTTGGCGAAAGAAGTGATGGAGAAGTGTTCATTGATTCATGAGTCCAAGCTACGTGAGGTTGAACAATTAATTTATTATTTACAAAATCGTCGGACAAACGATACCAATACAGGTAATATAGCATATTCTTTATGCTTGTATAATATTTGTAAAAATTTATTTAAAACTTTTAAAACTTTTATAGGCAGTGATAACAATTCTCACCCTCCAAGACCAGCATCATCAAATTCAATAATTACAGAAAATAGTGAAGTTGAACGTGCAATTATTAGTAATGTTGACAGTTATATTGAATTATTATATGAGGAAATACCAGGCAAGATTAAAGGTTCATCGTTAATTTTACAATTAGCAAGGATCCCTGATAATCTCTTGGAATTGACAAAAAATGGTATAATTTTTGTGTATATATATATATATGATTGGCGGCGAGATATTGTCGACGATAACATATAATATTCATTGCAATTTTGTGCTATAATTATTGTATATTTGTAATTATTCATAAAATTACAATTACAAAAAAATTACAAAAAAAACAAAATAATAAAATTACAAATATACAATAATTATAGCACAAAATTGCAATGAATATTATATGTTATTGTCGACAATATCTCATTTATTATGACAATAATTGTAATGGGACATTTTTTTTTCTTTGTTATAGAATCATTATTAAGTGCATTAGCTCGAGTTTTAAGAGAAGATTGGCGGCGCAGCATAGAACTATCCACAAATATTATTTACATTTTCTTTTGCTTTTCAACATATAGCCAGTTTCATAACATTGTGCTTGAATATAGAGTGAGTCGAAAATACTTGATATATCTTAAAAAATCAAGTATTCTAGTTGCAAAATATATTTCTTATGTTTCTATTTTTGTAGATCGGTTCTCTTTGTATGGATATAATTGATTTTGAATTACGTCGCTACGATCAGTGGAAGGAGGATATGGAAAAACGTCGGAAACAGTTTGAGAACACTACTGGTTTAACATTTTTTCCAATGGGAAATAATGACAACTGTGATAGGAAAATTAAGATCATTGATGATATTTGGAATATGGAGGGTCCGTTAGATTATGAAGTTAAGAAACGGTCTGCAGATGTGTCCATAGCTGTATCTGAAAGTGATATTAAAAAGTTAAAAGAAGAACTTGAGAAAAGTCGCAAAAAATTTAAAAGTTTAACTAAGAAGCAAGAACAACTGCTGCGAGTTGCATTTTATCTACTCTTAAATATTGCTGAGAATGCTATGGAAGTGGAAAGAAAGATGCGTAAAAAGAATGTTATTGGAATGTTGATTAAAACGTTAGACAGAACAAATACTGATTTACTGATATTGGTTGTTACATTTTTGAAGAAATTATCTATCTTTCGGGAAAACAAAGATCTTATGGTAACATCAAATATTTCATATAAATATAGTATTGACATTATGCATATATGTAAATAATATAGATATACATATTAATATATATTTACAGGCAGACGAAAATATTATAGACAAATTACCAAGACTTTTACAAAATAATAACATTGATCTTGTATTAAGCACTTTAAAACTGTTATTTAATCTTTCTTTCGACATTAAACTCAGAGCAAGAATGATTAGAGTTGGTATGTTACCAAAATGGATAAAGTTGCTTGGTCAAGGTAGGAATTATATTTATAAAAATCTGAAAATAATTATAGTCTTCTTTACATGAAAGCTCTAAATTCTTTATAAATAAAATAAAAATTGTATACAATATAATATTGTGTCATGTTCACAGCTGATATAAAAAGTAAGAGCACAATTCTGGGATTGCTCTATCATGCCAGTATGGATGACAAAGTAAAAACAATGTTTACAAATACGGATTGCATTCCAATGGTATATATGTACAGTCTATGAAATTTTTATACATACAAATTTAGGGAATTCCAAAAATTCCCTATCATTTTATATATAACGTGTATATATTATTTGTTTAGATAACAAACATGATATTAAATTCCGACGACGAACATATAAGATCTGAATTAATAGCACTTGGTATAAACTTAGCTATTAACAATAAGAATGCGCAACTAATGGTGGAAAATAACCGTTTGCAAGATCTTATAAAAATTGCATTCAGAAATCAAGATGCTCTTATAATGAAGATGATTAGAAATATTTCTCAACACGATTCGACGAAAGAAAATTTTGTCGTGAGTTGAAGCTTTAACATTGAGATTAATACAACAGTATATCAGTCATCTTTTAATTCGATATTTATTCATATACATTTAGGAATTCGTGGGTGACTTTGCTATGGCTTTGACTCAGTCCGATTCTCAAGATTTTGTACTAGAAGTAATTGGTGTATTAGGCAACTTAGAATTGCCTGATTTAGATTATTCTCAAGTCATTCAACGTTGTAATCTCATACCATGGATACGCAATAATTTAGTTCCAGGTATAACTTCTCATCCTTTCTCTCTCTTTCTCTCTCTCTCTCTCTCTCTCTCCCCTCCCTTCCTCCCCTCCCCCTTCCCCACTCCCCCCTCTCTCTCTAGCCCATATTATTTTTTTCGTGCTTGATATCAAAATAGAATTGAAATGTACTGAAATTTATTCCAGCTTATTCTATTTTCTTTATATTCATAGGTAAGGCTCAAGATGATTTAGTTCTTGAAGTTGTCATATTTTTGGGCACTGCAGCTTACGATGAAGATTGTGCTCGTTTGTTGTGTAAGGCTGATATACTTCTCTCTCTCATCGAGCTTCTTAAAGGTATGTATTCAAGTGGTAGTACATGTAAAAAAAGATATATGGATTTATACACAAGAGAAGCATATTATCTTTTTCGTGTATAATATTACAGCCAAGCAAGAAGACGATGAAATGGTTTTGCAAATAATTTACGTTTTTTATCAAATTGCAAAACACGATTCAACGCGAGATTATTTGATTCGCGAAACTGGTAATGGTAATAATCAATTTCCTTAATTGTTGAGCCTTGTTAAAGATGTATAGAGTAACACAATATCTTGTGAATATTTTTAAACGGTCTCTGTATGAATTTATAAGATGGTGATTGCATTTGCAGAAGCTCCTGGATATTTGATTGATCTAATGCATGACAAAAATCCTGCAATCAGAAAAGTCTGTGATACATGTTTAGATGTCATTGCTGTAAGTAATTTAGGGAAAATATCTTTTATGTGCAAATCTCTTTCCTTGTTTTTATAAGTCTGTAAACAACATTTTAAATAATATTTTGTGAAATAAACTATTGGAGTTGCGTTTCGTATAAAGTCTCGATTTTTCGTATTCTAGTTGTGCGACAAGAATTGGGCGGCACGCATAAAAGTGGAAAAGTTCCGGTCGCACAATCAGCAATGGCTGGAAATGGTTGAATCTATAGGATCAGATTCGACCAATCATTTGTTAACGGATGACGACGATAGTCTATCTCCATTTATTAGTGGTGACCTACTAAAACATACTATACTGTTTCCCTCTGGTAATATTTATTATTTTCTTTTTTTTTTCACAAAATTATATATATCATTATTTATCACACATTCTTATAATAGATTGTCGTGTTTACATAGGTAATGCAGCATCATTTAATGTGGATGATGGATTTTCAATTATGAAAAATTCATCGGAATCATCTGAAAATCCTAGTCGGCCTGTCAGTAGGTATGCCTCGAATGATGCGAATATATTTGATATTTTGGTGCACTATTAATCCAAATATAATTGTAATACTGTTCGATGGAAATTAATTACATATATTATAGGTATCGAGATCTCGATGACTTAGGCGAACTCGTGGCTCGTTCTAAATCTCGCATGTCCATTGGTTCAGGTATAGAGGATTTATATTACAATTCTAGAGTGAAATTCAATGATACAGATAGTTCCCACGTATTAATATAAAGATTAATTCCAATGATCTGATGTAGATATGTGACTTTACTTTGAAAGATATCTAGAACATTTTACATTATCTGAACATCATATGTTTGATGTAAAAAGACAAAAAAAAAAAAAAAAATATTTGCTATACTATTTATACTGGTTTGAATTAAAAAAAAAAAAAAAAAAAAAAAAAATATTTGCTATACTATTTATGAAAACATGCCTGCTCGAACCAAAGATTTTATTATACATATAATAGACTGCTTTGATCTCATAGTCAAGTGTATCTTAGTATCTTTTATTTTTTTATATATTGATTTATTTATAAGCATCAAAGCGCTTTATACTGATGCATAGTACGCTATTATGTTGCAAAATAATTAATAGGACATTAAGTCTATATTCTTTTATCTTGTAATAGGCTTCAGACAGTCAGTATAGTATAAATGTATATGTGGTTAAATGTAAAATTAGTATTTACAATAATTTTAATCTCATGTAGTATTTATATATTGTTAATATCAATTAATAAGAAGACAAGCGGTGTATGAAAATATCGAATGTTATAGAATAAAATAATAGAATTATATTGACTTTTTTTATTATTTTTTTATTCATTACATAGGACGGATTGTGCAATAAATTACATAGATACATATATAATTTCATAAATATATATATCTAAAATTACTTTCTCTAAAGACAAGTACTTATTCTATATTTGTCTTTATCATTTTTCATCGCACCTCTTGTCCCTTTGTGTTATCAACTTATCATGTTTATTAATATATAACATAGTATTTTATTATATATTAATAAAAATGCATGACTTGTAGCTACTCAACTCTATCTCTTCTTCGTGATAAAATAAATTACGATACAAATTTCGAATTTTGTCAATTAGCAATTTATTTAAAAAAATAATCTTATAATCCACAATGCTCTCTATTCTTATTAAAATTATCAAATATAAATTATTTATTTAAGATCTATTGACTTGTTCTGGGCTTATTATTAGAGCTGAGACTTTTTCGTATAATGGATTCACCTGTAGGTCGAAATATGATAGTGTAACTATTGTCTCCATCAGTGAAAAACATATGCTCTTTTAAATCCCAGCTGATAGGGCTGTCTGCAAATCCTTGTATGTCTAAACTAACCCATGGTAAAGTTTTTCGTAATAATACATATTCTTTCAATATATTATAGATCTCGTGCAACTTCTTTCGTGTAAAGAACCCTGTGCATTGCAAATGCTGTACTTGTCCAATATCTATAGAAAGTGGAGGGCACTCATATGTGTTTACATAGTTATCCATTTTTCCGTTAGATCTAAGAAAAATATTGTAGCTGTATCATTATCATATTTCTTCAGCATTCTCTTATTAATCATATATGAAGAATTATTATTTTGAAGTACAAATTACAACGTACAGATCACCACCAATGCTAAAGACTCCAAGCCATTCAAAAAATGTATCCAAATTGCATCCTTCTTGAAGAGTGGGTATTACTATTGAATATTTAGCCCTTTGAAAACATGTCTGACGACAGAGACAAACATCATAATTGTGCGTGTAGAACCATGCTGCTATCGACGATGGGCATAAATCAATCCCTAAAATATTTAAATGGTAGTCGGAGAAAGATACATGTATGAATACTATAACATTGCTTGTATATTATAAGAGAAAGGAGAAGTATACATACTTGGTGGATCCCACAATACTACAACATCAAAACTCTGTTTGAGTCGTTCTAATGCTATTCGAGTACTTTCATAGTTCTTGTTACCAGGAACAAAATTTTCATTTTTCAGATTAATTGTTACTACTGATAATGTGTATGTATTTTCACCGGTAAAAAAATGTATGCAAATATATAAAAAATGTATATAAAATATATAGATAAATATATAGATAAAATATCATAAATATTACCATGTAATTTTAAGATTTAATTCATTGCTATTTTCCTTCTACGCTTACCATAACGTATATGAGGTTTACGATCAAAGGAAGATGCTTTTCCTTCTAAACCAAGCGCTTGATAGTCTTCAGTTACTAAAGAAAGTAGCAAGTATCCAGTTGGAGTTATACAAATAGAATTTTGCAAATCTATTTTATTTTCTATCGTCAAAAGGCTGACCTCTCCTAAAATTTGAAATGTAGATATTAGTAACAATATAAATATAGAATTAAGGGAATAAATTTTAATTCAATGTTAACTCAAAAAAAGAAAAATTATCATTCTCTAAAGACGAGTTTAGAGATGAGAAATAGTTACTTTATTTCAAAATATAATAATACTATAATTGTAATTATAAAATGCAATTGCATAAGGACAAAATCAATAATAAGCATAACATGTTTACCTTTCTTAATAAAAGCTTCAATAAATTCTGCATTTAGAAGATCGCAGGCACGCAGCGCATTTATCCGATAATAATCTGTGTCCTCGGATAAACAATTCCGTAAAGTATCGGGAACGGTAACGGTGTCGGGAAGCACCACAGATATCTCAACAATATAGAAAACGCAAATAGTATCAATATTGAAAATTTAAAAACTGAATTTTATAAAACAATAATTTATAAACTTACCGAATGATTGAAATAATGAGTGCCCATCACTGAAGGTATGTCTGTTTTTGTAAAATCTCTCTTATCCACGGATACATAGTGTCGCGGTGGTTTGAAATCATATGTCTCCGGGCAGAGCATATCGACACAGTGCTAATGTTATATGATAACGTTTTTCTTCTTCTATTCTATTCTATATGAATCCTAGCAGGATGTAGAGTACCATGGTTTCAAGTTTTAAATAGTGTAGTTCACATCTTAGAATGTTCTAAGGTTCACATGCGACAAAAAAATGCCTTCATTTCCGGGCTCTGCATTTCCGAGTCTTCTTCTTCTTTGTTTGTATGGCTCCGCGTTAGGTCATTTCCGAGTCGAATATATTATTGTGCTTATGTTAGATATTTCCGCATTATATATATATATATATATATATATATATATATATAACGATAGCTGCGATCGGGAAGACGCTAGAGATGCTTCGAAGCATTGCTTTAACCAATCAGAATAAAGAAATTTTTATTCTTTTTGTCCTGATTGGTCAATCAAATGTTTCGAAGCATTTGTAGCGTTTTCCCGACCACAGGGCTGCGTTCGAGCATCACCGAGCGTCGTTCTATCTTTGTTATTTACTGAAAGTTGAATAAAGATAGAACGATGCTCGTGTGCACACGGATGATGTTCTCGAACGCGGCTCAGCCTATATTAATCGGTTTATATAGTTATGGGTCAGTTGATTCGTCCAATGTCCAATCTAACCCTTAGAACATATATAAATGGAAGGGGACTGCCTTTGTTTCCCGATAGAAAAACATGTCGGAAGGAAGTAAGAAAGAAAATCATAGTTGCCTC